TGGACGGCCGAGGATGATGTTGTGGGCGCAGTCGATGTTTACGACGACGAACTCCACTTCGAGCTGGGCTCTATGGAGCCCGTCGCCAAAGATTACCGGGAGGGTTATTACCCCCTCGGAATCAATAGTATCGCCGGTGAAGCAGGCAAGAGGGGTCTTAATGGGACGAAGGGACCCCCTCTCCAGATGCAGCTCTCTAAAGGTGCTGAGGTACATTACATTGACGGAGCTGCCCGTGTCAATGTAAGTTCGGTGAATGATGGTGTCGTTTATTTCAGTCCGAATCACCAAGGCATCCCTGTGAGGAGAAGAAGTAGGAGGGAGATCTGCGTTGGTGAAGGTGATGGGTTCCTCCCTCGGTCGCTTTACCGGGGGCATATGAGTGACTTCCCCCACGTAAAGCGATTGAGCCCACTTCTTCCGCTGGCTGGTGGAATCGCCCCCTGTATTGCCGCCGGTGATCATGAGGATGTGGCGTTTTTTTCTCCTGGTAGTGGGGGTACTCCTCCTCTTCCTCCTCCAAGTTTCCGATCTCCCTCTTCTTGCCGAGGGGGATGGTGTTCGGGTTCACCCAAGCGTTCACCTTCGTGTGGTGCCCTCGGGGAGGTCCCTGATGAGAAGGTCCCTCCTGCCGAGGGCTCTGAACAAATTGGGACAGGTGCCCCGCCTGTATCAATCTCTCGATGGCCGTTTTTAGCTGGTGGCAATCGTCGGTTCTGTGCCCCTGATGCCGATGGAAACGACAGTAGGGAAACTGAGGGTTGATAGCATGTACCTCTGGGGGTGCGCGAGAATCGCGCTCAACGAGGCCCCTCTCCTCGGCAAAATCAAGGATGATGCTGACGAGGTGCGTTAATGGTGTCCGGGGGCGGTCCAGGAGAATGGGTTGTGCCCAAGTCTTAGGGTTGCTCTTATAACCTCCCCCGAGCTTGGCTTGGCCTTGACGAGGGTGATCATCAGAGGGTCCCGAAGACTTGGGGTGATTTGGAGGAGCCCCCGGCCCTCGGTTGTTCTTGTTGTCAGCCCTCGGGGGCTGCTGATCCGGATGCTGGTGGTATTTCTCCACCTCCTCGGCCTCAGCATATCGGTCCCCCCCGCTGCAAAGCCCTTATGTAGTCGCGGGGGGGGGGGGGGGGGGGTTCAATGATGAGGCTCCTTGAAAAGTTGCCGGTGCGGAGGACGGTTTGTAGGAGGGCCAGGAGGGTCCAGTCATCAGCACCGTCGACTTTGTCGGCTTCCGTCCTCCAGCGCTCCAGGAAGTCCCGAAGGGTCTCATCCCTCTTCTGGCGTATGGTTAGGAGGTGGGAGAAGTGCTTCCTCGTGCGACGCCTCCCGGCAAATTGTGTCAAGAATCGCTGGGCGAGTTCTTGCCACGAATCAATGCAGCCCTCAGGCAACCGGTTGAACCATTCGTATGCCGGCCCCTCTAAGGTGGAGAAGAACCAACGACACAAATATTCGTCTGACGCCCCTACCATCATCATGCTATTCTGGTATTTGTTGTAGTGTTCCTGGGGGTCCGTCTTCCCGTTGTAGGGCTGTATGTGTTGCCCTCGGTATTTTTCCGGGATTCGGGCCACCAGTACCCTTGGGGTAAATGGCGTCCGAGTCCGGAGCTGGATGACGGGTTCCCCAGAGCCCTCGGCTACCTTCTTCTGTAATTCCTCCATTTTGGCCATCATGGCCTCGTATTTGAGGTCTGAATGAGGGGTGGAGGTGGTGGCGTGAGCTTTGTTGGCCTCCATTTCGTCAAGTCGGCGTTGGAGGGCCGCAATAATTTCGTCCCGGGGATCCTTCGGGAGGGTCTCCGCCCCCTGCGAACGAACCCGGGACGAGTGGGCCTGGTTGATTTGGTGGCGAGCATCGTCGGCATGAAGGGGTGCCTTGCCTTTGTCCCGAGGGGGACGCTCCTCGTCTGCCCTCAAGACAGACCCTCCGCTTTCCTGGGGCCTTTGGAGTGCTTTCCCTCCGAGGCGGTCTTGGACCCCTCGGCGGTCTGGCCCTCCTCCGAGTCGGTTGAGGGCGGAAGTGCGGGGCCTTTCTCTGTTGTCATTGTGGCGGTCCCGGGACTGAACTTCCTGGGAGGCCGTATCTTGGGCCACTACCCCTTCGTCGTTCCTAACCCGAGGGATAGGGTTTCCGAAGGGGTGTGGCGGAGGGGGAAGTATGATGTTCTCCCCAACCTGGGGTTGAGCCGGAGCCAGGGTGCCGAAGGCACCTGGGTTCTGAGTGAGCGTCTGGATGAAGGCGGAGAGCGCCGAATGAACGTTGATGGTGAGAACTGGAGGGCTGACTTGGTCATCGCTCCGGTTTTTCTTCTTGGCCTCGATGCCGAGGCGGGCATCGGGGGCATTCTGTTGGATCTGAAGGCGTAGGTCGACAGCCGCCTGTTCCAGCCCAGCGATGACATCGCTCTCGGGAGCCCTGTGAGAGGCTTCGGGGGCGTTGACGTCGCCGAGGGCCAGGTTCTTGTCTTCCACGTTTTTGGAGTTGGTACGTGTTGTTCTCACCATTTTGGTAGAGGGCTAGTGTTTGGCGAAGGGGGAGGGTTTCTTACTCAATTGTTCGACCTCTCAACGAGAGCACCAAATGATGGATAGTGTACCCGGGGGGTAGCTTATCCGAGGGGTTATTACGGGGAGTAATAAGAGAGAAGTCAGAGCAAGTAAATGTAGAGAGAGAAAGTATATTATAAGTGTGGAGCGTTTTCAGCGTGGTTACAAATGGGGAAATGGGCTGCTATTTATAGTAGCAATAAATGCCGGACGGGGACACGTGTCAAGTGCCCATTGGCCGAGAGGTCACCTCAACTGGTTGGCGCTGGCAGCCGCATGTGGCCGCATTTAATGCGGCTGTTGGATGGGACGTTGTACAGGGTACGGTGATCTGTACGCATGTGGCGCGGGTATTATGTCGGGAGAGGTGCCCTCGGCTGCAGAGGACTAGCCGAGGGCTCTTAGTGCCGAGGACCCTGAGTGCCGAGGGCTCCAGGTGCCGAGGGCTGCTGTTTTCGCCGTTTTCTCCCAGTTCCTCTGTCTGTTCGAACTATCCATGCTGTGATAGTTTGGAGCCCTCGGTCAGGGGGCCGAGGGCACCTCAATGTGCCTTGAGGGTTGATTTTGTGTGGGGCGTTATAATTCTGGGCCTGCAATGCTTCTTGGGCTTGTTGGGTCTTTGTTGGAGTAGTGGGAGTCTGTGGGCCGGGGGTTCCTAGGCCATATACTCCATCAGATGCCTAATAAGTGTGTGGACATAAATTTAAATCTTATAATAAACTATTACTAGGAAATCAATAATAATAATACTCCCTAATTGTTTAAACGATGTTTAAGGAAATAACTATTTCATAGTCCAATTATTTAAATGCATAACAAATGATATAGAGTCACTTTTCTACCTTAAATTGGGCTATTCAAATCACCAAAACCTTATATCAGTAAATCAATAATAATACTCCGTAATTGTTTAAACGATGTCTAAAGAAATAACTGTTTCATAGTCCAATTATTTAAATGCATAACAAATGATATAAAGTAACTTTTCTACATCAAATTGGGCTATTCAAATCACCAAAACCTTATATCAAATCAATAAATAAAGTTTATTAGATGGCAAGTTGTCACATTTTGATAGGTTCAATCCTCAGATTTGATGTCAAAATATTGCTCCATATTCTTTAATTTTTGTTATATTGAACAATGTAATTAAAGGTATATTGTTTGTAAATGTCCAACAAAAAATGAAAACAATGTATCATTCTTAAAAAAGGTGCATGGCCTTCAAAAACTATGAACCATTATAATAGTAGTTATGATTGGAGCACATTTGTTTGATATAGGATGCACTTTTTGCGTACCCAAATGCACTCATATATAAAACGAAACATTTTTTACAAGCAAGATATCTATGAAAATATCGCCATTTTTTAACTTTAAAAAATTTCATCTCATCCATCTATTTTATTATATAAAAAATTATGACATTTCATGATACTAAATTTCACATTTAGTAATAATGTATATTATTTCAATAGACTCAACAATCATCATATATTTAATATACTCATATGAATGATATTTCATGATAATAACTTTTGTAATTTTTTCAATGTTATATATACTGATAGAAAAAATAATCAAATATTCAGAGTATGATAGTTACAAACATATGAATTATATAAAATCATTACATTCGGTTAGAATTACTAGAATATATATCTCCATATTATATATATTAGTTGTGTATTCCTTATGAATACTGAAATGATATATTTTAATGCTTATATACATTATATAGTTGGAGACTTAATAAATGATGATGATTATTATTTTAGAATGTAATGGTTACAAAAGGATGTATGGAATCCTTAAAAAGTTATAGTGATATTTGATTGTATCAGTATATTATTAAGGGTTAAATTGTTATTTAATAATATATTTTTATTAATAATTAAATGAATGGCTGTGAATAACAAGTTGGGGTTGTGAATAGAATTTTCCTAAATATATATGTCCAATAAGCTCACTAAAAAATACCTACACTAAAAAACACCTTAATATGTCATTTTTACATCCAATAATAATAATAATAATAATAATTTGTACTAACAAATACTACATCTCTTATCGGATCATCAGACAATAATGCTATACTTACATTTTTCGTATATATTTACATCTCTTATATTATTATCTGATGGAATCGGAGCATCAGCCAATAAGTATTGGTTTTTCAATCCGTGTCAAATCCGTGTAAGAGAATTCGGTATATTTTGTTAGAAACATTTTTTTTGAAAGAAAAACCAATACTTATGTTAATTTAGACAATCATTCCTAGATGGTTATAAATACAATCAGGACAACGATCAAAATCACAAAAAGTAGTAAATATTTGGAGGTAGTGAATATATTATTATTGAGTTTATTTCAGTTCACTTTAGTTCAGTCCTAATTTTGGATCAGCCCAAAGAGGGCACAGTAACGGGTTATACGGGTATGACCATATCGTCTCAATTTGGGACTGAGTAAAACTTTTCCCCAAATGTTGACAAATAGGCAGGGGATGAGTAAATGAGTAATATAGGAATCGGAAGAAGGGGGGTATGACTGCTCTTTTCCTTGTTGTCCGAAATCTGCGTTATATTCACCCTTGGCAGATGGCTCTGCAGATTGGTGAGGCAACCAAAATTCCAGATATAGAAAAAAAGTTAATTGCATTAATATTCGATTTTAGGGTTTAGCAATCCCTTATAATCCATGCAAAAGCGCTTTGCATTTTACTTTTTATTCTTCAATTCCCCAGTTCGTTCCCCTGCTGAATATATAAGACCCATTTTTCTGGGTACTGCTTCGATTTTTGCCCTCTTGAGCCATTTTCATTTTATATGTTTGGCTTGTCAGAGAATGAGGTAAAAGCCTCTAACTTTTAGCATTGGTCTATCAGCTACTGTTCTTCCGCTTGCTCCTCTGAATTGCATAAACTCTGTTTTGTTTAATTCTCGAATTTTCATAGCTGCCAAACTGAAACAACCTCAGGTTCTTTTGGCAAACATGTTTGTTCTTCCTTTTAATGTCAATAAAGACACGTTTACCAGGTGTTGTCCAGTGTTGTAGTTCTGGTCTGACATAGTTTTACTTATCCACTTGATTAGCAACACACCGTGAGTATATCAAACTGGATTGGGACTAATTTCGTTCGAATTAGAGACCTCCGGTCAAGCATTGAAAAGATTAAAGACTCCTGTGATTTTAAAAATCTTTTAGCAGTTTTTCTTAATGTAGAACTCTCTTTGAATTCATATGAATATTTTGATGATCCTGTTCTTTACTCCCTCCGTCCCGAAAAGGTTGGCCAAAGTTGACTTTCACATGATTAATAAAGTAAAAACTGTGTGGTTGAAATTTGTGCAGAGGAAAGAGAATTAATTTAAGGCACATATTCCTTACTTTAAATGGAAATGTCAAATCTTTTTGGGACATCCAAAAAAGGAAATTTGTCAAACCTTTTCGGGACGGAGGGAGTAGTTTTTAAGATGTTGGGTTCCCTTGTCTAGTAGAAGGGGTAGTCTATGAACTTATATGTTTTATTTTGTTGTTATATTTAATCTATATCAACTGGCTTATCAGAAAATCAAAACAGTCCTTTTATTTGTAGTTATGATTTTCAAAAGTATATATGAATTGTTGCAAGTGTTAGAACAATTTATAATCATTAAGCACTATGTGTTGTACAAATTGATTTTTTTAATTATATACTACACATAAGATACCTGATGACTGTAAAAAAATGCCCTTTATGGAAAACCATTAAATCCCCTGTTCCACTGTGTGATACTACCTCCGCCCGTTGAAAGGTTCTCATGGCAAAATGACACCGTTATTTAGACAATAATTAAATAATGCAGTTTGAGTATATTTTGAGAATTAATTTCAATACGTATACACTATAATGGGGTTAGTGTTGATAACTACGATGTTATAAATGTATTATTTTTGTATTTAACGATTAATTTTCATTTGAGATGGTTAATTGCTTCCTAAAATGGAAATGGGAACCTTTATATGGGATGTCCAGAAAAGGAAATTGGGAACCTTTCTACGGGATGGAGGGGTAGTATTTATTTATTTATTTATTTATTTATTTATTTATCTACTTATTTATTTATTTATATTTATTTATTTATATTTATTTATTTATATATTTATTTATTTATTTATTTATATATTTACTTACTTACTTACTTACTTACTTATTTATTTTATTTATTTATTTATTTATTTATTTATTTATTCATATGATACTTCAATATCCTTAATTATCAGTATTCCTGCTATCTAATTGTGTATTGCAGAAGATGAATACACCTGGAGCTAATTATTGGAAAGGGAATGCCAACGGAGCAAGTGGCCATGACAGCTTTTATGACTTGCTCAGTATTCTGGATTTTCCGATGGAGAGTTTGGAAGGGGAAGGCTCTAATGACGGTGGGGATACTGTCCCTTCTGAAGATGCATATTTTAACTTGTATCCATTCCCCCAAGCATATTTTCAGAATGGCTCATTGGACGGGGTGTTCAAGAAGGCTTATGTAAGTTCCTCACTTCCTCCAACTTTTAGTTCCTGCATTTGAATGCTTTGAATGGGATTTGTGTATTGTCTTAATTAGTAATTCCACGACATATCATTGTGGTTTAAGGAAATTATACTTGGTAGTATAAGGAAATAAAGTAGTGTGATCCTAAAATCTACTTAGGCAGTCAAGGTCAGATGCTACTTATGGAGAGTGTCATGTTTCAACGTGACATGTAAAATGTCGGCTGTCTGGAGGCATGTTCATTACCAAAATGGTTCTTCCCTAGCACCTAGGGTTTTATTCTTTTCTCCTTCACCGAGGCCTTCAGTTTGAAGTAATTTGGAGCTGGTTTGATTTTCTGTTTTTCTACTTTTGTTCTTCCATGTCGGGAGCTTCATGGCTTTTGATTGGATTTTTTTTCTTACGACAAAATGGTTGGAACATGCCCTCTTGAGGATCTTTACACTCATCTTGCTATTGGTGATGAGGAGGAAGATGCTCAATTTTGTGAGGATATTCTTGTGTCGGGGCTTTCGTCGTTCTTGGTAAGGTTATGACTGATCTCACCCTATCTTTAATTTAAAGTAACAGGTTTGCGGTCTCTTTTGACGAAGTGATTTTTTTTTTTTTCCATTCTGGTTTCTTGTTATTGCGTTTCATTTACTATCTCTTTTTATGGAAAATTCCGGGTGAGGATCGTCAACATTGCCCTAGAAAAATAAAGCATCATCATTGATTGTGATTGCTTTTAATGGACTGCCACTTTTTCCACATTAGGTTTTTTCCTCATTGTGTTTTCTTTTATTATAATTATTGTTTTATCTTGCATTTTTATAATATAAATGTTTTAGATTTGTGTATTAGTTTAGTTTTACTGTTTTGATGAAGTGGCAATAAACACTTGGTCCTAACAACTAGTATCAGGGTCCTGGTGAAGGGTTTGAAACCTCCCCAGCTGGTGTTGGGTGACAGGGAGAGAAGTTTCAGCACCACTTGATAAATAAACTACCAACGTCGTTCAGCACTGGCCATTTTTCTCGGCCAGATGGGATCCCTGGAGAATTTTAGAATTATGCTTTTTGGTTGTGGTTATGTGAGTATTCAGACTAGGAATGATGACCATTATTTGTATTGTTTACCATGGAGTGGTTTACCTGGTCCGGGCTTAATTTTTGTGACCAGCATTCAGTTTTTTTGGTTGAAATAATGGTGTGTTTTATCCTTTGTTGGAAATCTCTATTCCTCAAACAGGATTAACTGGTTTTGCACTCCAAGCTCTCTCCAATATGTGTTAAAGAGTAATTATATGTCTCAAAGAAACCCAATTATGATGTGTTTAAAGCATCAACTACTATTGTTTCCTATGAAGCATTTAAACTGTCCATAAATGATGGCATATAGCCATCTAACTGGGGACTGGTCTAGTTCATCCTCAAGATTGTATCATGTGTAAACAACTCCATATTGGCTAAATAAAAACCTTACATACAAGATCCTAAACCACTGCATCTACTTTTTTAATGTAACCTGAAGTTTTAATATCATAAATCTGACAATTATCTATTTTGCGAAAACAGCCTTAGGAGTCAAATTTCATTAATTTTATCTATATTGTTTCTAATTCGCCAGAAGGAGGAGAGTACCTCCCAGGAAAATCAGGTGTTGAATCTTGTTGAAGACCCATCTGGTGGAGCACCTGCCCCTCTCACGGAGACCTCATCAGAAGAAACGATGCTCATAAGCCCCGACTCTAGCATCCTCTTTCCCGACTTTATGGTCCCTGTTCGTAAACGGTCAAAACGCTCCAGATCCCCAAACGTTAATCGATGGAAATTGATTGCTCCCATATTTTGTACTTCAGCTCCATTCAGAAATACTTCGGGTATGTTTGGATCACATATAGTGCTATACATGTTTATTACAAGTTTATTTTTATGTTTGGTTTTAGTTAGGAACCGAAAAAGAAGCATCATTATTTTAAAAACCGCGTATATGTAGATATAATAAGTCCGGTTGGTAGAATTGATCGGCTTAAAAATAAGCGTAATATGTAGCCTCTGAAATATTGATCTGGCTGAACAGCTGAAAGCAGTTTTGCGAAAAGCTTTGCTCTATATAATAGAGATAAATAAGTAAATCTGTTGAACAAAAAACCTAAATCATTTTGCTGAGTTTGGTCTAATCTTTTATAACTCACCCCCAAAATTTTATTTCCTTCCAATTTTATTCCATGTTTTTCCCTTTCTGTTCTTCCCTAGTACTTTCTGGCATCCAAATGGACCCACCGAGTCCCAAAAAGATGAAAAAGAGAGTGCTGTCACGGAAATCGATTCCTGTGAAGGATGGTAGAGGGCCAGGAGTGAATGGTTCCGTTAGAGAATGTACACACTGTCATGTAAAAACGACGCCACAGTGGAGAGAGGGCCCATTAGGGCGCAATACTCTATGCAATGCCTGTGGAGTCCGATACCGTACTGGGCGGCTGTTTCCGGAGTATCGACCGGCAGCTAGTCCAACCTTTGTTCCCTCTGTACACTCAAACTTGCACAGGGAAGTCCTTCGAAAGAGAAGGAAAACTCTGATTGAAGATGAGGAAATTCAGCATGGTTAAGTGTTGTATTTGGGGGCATTGCGAGTTAGAGTTGGAAAGGATGTTGATTAGTGACCAAATTTGTTTTTCATTTGGCTTAATTAATTAATTTATTTTGTTTGTTGTGGCAGGAAGTAAAGAAAGACTAGATTTTAATTTACTGCCAACTTACAGGTGAAGTATACAAAATAAAATAATGCTAAAATGTGGGTACTGTTTTTGTTTGGTTTTACTATTATTATTGTTATTATATATGAGGTTACAAAAACTATATGAGGTTACAGTTGTTATTATACTAACTTAATGTTAGTATACTTAATAGAAAGACTTAATAGTATTTTTGAGAAAAGAGTAAGACCGGGCCTCGAACTTACAAAAAAATGTCAAATAAGGCCTTATATAGGAGGTTCTGTCCGGCCGATGCCATTTGGGGCGGTTCCCGGTGGATTTTTTCGATGAAATTTTGTGAGCATCTTATTCATTAAGTCTTGTTTACTCATATCAAATTTCAGCAAAAACTTCAATCGGGAAGGCAGTCAAATAAAATGTTGAAGATAATTGTGCTTTTAACTGCGCACTTATCTTATTCATTAAGTTTAGTTTACTCGCTCAAGTCATATTTCTAGTTATAGAGCCGAGAGGTAAAGCATGTATATACTACACCCTCTATATCCTTATTGTGTGTTAGGTATATTGAGCTTGGTTATGTTTGATTTTATTTTATGAGAAACTACATAGTAAGTATGTTGATATGATTTGATTTCCGGGAGTACTTTATGATGGTACTACATTGAGTATAGACATCCTTATAGGATTTACGATAGTCTTTGTGTGGTTACTGCTTAGGGATGGTCTTGATTTTGGTTCCAGGCTTCCAGCAATGGACTTAGTTTGGTAAACCTCCCGTGGCGGGACCCAAACCTGGTGATGGTGCTAGTAAAAATTGGTACTGGTTATGGTACTTAAAATTAGTATCTTGATAAGTTGGTGCAGCTCTAAACCCAAAAATAATTTTTAAGAAATTTGTGTGGGCCATTTTGTATATGCTAGGGTGGGGTAAACAAAAATCACCTATATAAGTCACATTTTACTATCTATATCTTTATATTATATCGATAACTTTCTAACTTGAAAGAATGACTTGGGGAGTTGGGGATAGTATTGCTGCAATTTTCAAAGACATAAATATGACTACATATCTCCTTAGACATAAATAGGACCACTTATATTAAAGAGACTAAATTACTCTACACAACCAACGACCCATCTCTGCAGCCATTCCTTCTTCTTCATACCATTTGGGATTCCATCCATTCTTGTCTCTATACCATATCCGATTCCATACTTGCAGATTAAAAGATTTATCATGTTTCTCCGTCGTCACCAGCCGCTTCACTCTGAGACCCCATCACCATTGCAGGCGAGCTTAAATCCCTCGCTCAAAGTTCGGATCTATTGACCGACGTCGTCCTTTTGTTCGATCTTCTATGGCTTCGACGTGCTTGAAATCGGCTTTAGATTATTATTCCCATATCATTGTCGACTGTCGGCGGTGGCTAGGGTTCATGGTTGCTCGACGATGACGTCAAAGACTCAAAGTAACGGTGCTATGGGATGGGGTGGTGGTTCTACAGGGTGGCGATGCAGCTATGACGGCAATGCCGTGATTTGTTTTGCTGCTTTGCGTTGCCGTTGCAAGTGTGTGGGGGCTGGGGTGTGGGGTTGAATAGTGTTTGTACAAGGGCTTGGGACATGGTTGGGGCTATGGATGGGGCTGGGGAAGGTTGGCTGTCAGAGAGGGGTGAGGTGGTCAGTCACTAGATGTCACCAATGGGTCACCGACAGTGGTGACTGGGTGTGGTGGTCGCTGGCTTGCGGTGGTGGCTACGGGTGATCACTATTGGGTTAGGTATGTGTAAATGATTGGGTGGGATACTGTAATTGGATAATCGGGTAACTGTAACTAACCGATTAGCGGTTAGCTGTAATTGGCAGTGGGTAAGTGTAACTGCTCAATCATGTAACCGTAACTGACGGCGGGTAATGATAATTGGTCGGGCACGTAATTGTCACTGACGACGGGTAACAGTAACTGGTCGTGTGAGTAACTGTAACTACTTGGACGTATAAATGTAACTGATCGGGTCAAATAAGTGTAAATCGTCTCTCGATAAATGTAATTGGGAGGAGGCGGGATATAATAGTCAAATTTCCTTTTTTTGGGGTCTGCCGGCCCGAAACCGGTTCTAACCGGTACTATTTCGAACCGGCCTAGCACGGCCCGGGGTCCGGGCCGGGTACAGTAGACGTGAACCTAATATTGTTGGGGCGGGCTCCGGGTCTCCAAAAACTAAACCGGCCCGGTCCAGGCCAATTTTTTTTTGTTTTTCAAATTCTTTAGGAGGTAAATGGGTTGTGCTGAGTGTTTTGAGGGGTTTGAGGTGTGTGTGGGGGGGGGGGGGGGGGGGGAAGTAATTAGAAAATAAAAGAAGAGTAAAATGCATAAATGGTCCTTGAACTATCATCACCATATCGTTTAGGGATGGATTCGGGTCGGGTCGGGTCCGGGCCGGGCCTAGGCCCGGTCGGGCCGCCGGTTCAAGAAAAGTGGGCCCGGGACCGGCCCGAGGGTTGGACGGGTCCGGTTCGGGCCGGGCCACCCGCCCGGGTCACGGGTCGGGTCCGATTCGGGCCGGGCCGGTTAATTTTTTTTTTTATAATTTATATTTTATAGTTTATAGTTTTATACGAGTATTAAAAACAAACTTCAATTGCATTTATTTGAAATGAAATAGGAACTACATTTGAAAATTAAAACAAACTTTAAGAGATAAACATTTTGAAAATTGTAATCAATCGGAACTTCCCGCACCTCCCGATCCTTTGGCTTTGTCACATGACTTCATATGCTTGATTGCCATCCCGAATCCGCCTGAAGCCCCCATGATACATTTTTTCCGCATCATTTGCAAATAGCGTACCACATCCCGGTCTTCGGATCCTTCTGCTTATCAAAATTATACCGTATAATGGCATCTTGATTTTCCATCTTAACATCTTGGAGAAGAGAATTAGAGAGTAGATATATAATATATTGGAGAATAAGAGAATTAGAGAGTAGAGAGTTAAGAATAGGATTTAGGAAGAATTGGAGAAGAGATATGAAAAAATATTTAAGATTAAGAGTATTTATAGGTTTTTTTACCCCCACCCCCCCCTACCAGCCAACCCCCCGGACCCCCCCTTTACCCCACCCAACGGCTATATAGCCGTTTGGGTTGTCCCCAGCCCCACCCCCAACGGATAGTAGCCCCACCAACCAAATTTTTTTTGTTTTTTTAAAAAGAGGCCCGGACCCGGGCCGGGTCACAATAATCCTGAACCGAGCCCGCCCCGCCCCTTCCCATCGGTTCGGGTCCATACCCGGTCCCGGACCGCCCGACCGGGCCGGTCCCGGGCCCGCACAGTGCCGAGCCGGGTCACGGGCCGGGTGGCCCGAACCGAATCCATCCCTAATATCGTTGGTCCTTGAACTATTAAATCTATCATTTTAGTCCTTAATCTATTTCTTCTATATTTATCGAGTCCTTCCGTTAAATTTGCCATTAACTTTGACGGAATCTAATTAATTTATTAACATCTCATTATTTTAAATATTTTGGAACAATACAATCATTCTTAAAATTTAAGTAGCTAATCTAGTTTTTTTTAAATATACATATATACACACATACACATATAAAAATTAAAAATAAATAATACAAAATCAAATGTACTGCCTAAATATTACGTAGTATATAAGAGAGAATCAAATAATGAATTATATACATGTAAGCAGCTAAAATGACGGTGCCGGAAAGTAGTAGAGTAAACTAGAAAAGTTCTAGTGAGAGAAACAAGCTCTCAACTTTCACTTGTGTGGTTCTATATCATTTCTACTTTATGAAGATGGCGCCGGCGAATGGGGATGGTTGCGACGAAGGGGGAGGTGTGTGTCGCGGCGATGTGGGCATCAGGTACCGCAACGATGTGGTTTTTAGGAAATGAGTAGGAAGTTAGAGTTTTATAATATCAATCTAAGAGTATATTCTGGTAAAAAAATGTAAGGGCAAATTAGTTAATAAAATTTATTTATTTATTTATTTTATTAAATATTACAAATTTAATTACGGAATAGTTTTTTTGGGTGGTGAACTAATGAGGTCGTGTATTGAGAAAGTGGATGAGTTTTAGTGTTTTAACTTTTTTTCTTAATATAATTAATAATAATAACAATCACCCTCATTTTCTTATTTAATTTTATCTGCTCATATGTATATAATCGATTATTTGATTCTCTCTTATATACTACATATTATTTAGGCCCTACATTTGATTTTATATTATTTACTTATAATTTTTATATGTGTATGTGTACATATATGTATATATTAAAAAAAACAAGATTAGATACTTAATTTTAAGAATGATTGTATTGTTCCAAAATGTTTAAAATTATGAGATGTTAATTAATTAGCTTCCGTCAAAGTTAACGACAAATTTAACGGAAGGACTCGATTAATATAGATGAGATAAATTAAGGACTAAAATGATAGATTTAATAGTTCGAGGACCAAAATGATATGGTGATTATAGTTCAAGGATGATTTATGCATTTTACTAAAAAAAATAAGTTACCCAACCTGACCCGGCCCGACCAATACCTGGTAGCTACCCGGGCCGGCTCCAAGTCTTAACATACCAAAAAAAAGCCCGCCCGATAGATAGATAGATCATCCTGATTCCAATGTTTAGAATTAGGAACTTCAATCGGTTGAAGGATTCAATCAGTTTACTTCTTTCTCTTTTTCATATATTATACCAAGCACATTAGAAATGAGTTTTACCTTAAACTCAAATGAATAAAATGCCTAAAAATGAACTTTTGAATTTTTGAATGCTCATTTTGTAAATTATATATGTTCATTTAGTATCTCTGTTATGCTCATTTTAAAAATGTTTTGGCAATGCACATTTCAAAAGTCTCATATTACATTAGATTTGTATAAGAATTGATTATAAACACGAGACGACAAATCATAATACTCAATCACAAATTATAATACTCAATAACGGCGTTTTATGCTCACTGAAAATGTTTTGATGCTCAACGAACAAAGCTTACAATTTTCATATTAATGCTCATCTTGTAAGTTACATATGCTCATTTGTATAGCTAGGTCTGATACTCATTAAAACTTCATTAATGCTCATTTAATAGAAATCATGATTTTCATTA